GGGAAGCTGCGTGGAGGGTACACAGCTTGGCGAGGGGAGGCTATCTCGGCTTGAGAAGCTTCTGGGAAAGTTTACTCCTTTGAACCATGACCGAGAAATGATGTTTCTATTCCCATGATGCCAGTGGACTTCAGGAGTTCAGTGAAATACCGTCTGTGAGCTAATCTTTTGTCTGTTTTCTGTATTGCCCTAGGAATTTAAGGAGTTACGGCAATGGGAAGGTGTAGAGGCTGCAGGCATACAGGATAGGGGGTGCGTGTGCATGTGCGTGTGTGTGTGTGTGTGTGTGTGTGTGTGTGTGTGTGTGTATTTAGGGGTTCTTGGTCATAGATTCTGCAACATTCCTTCTCATTGTGCCTTTCCTACACAGCAGACACAAAAAGTCAATGGTGCAAAACTGAGCTCTGTAACCCTGGAGAAAAAAAACTTCACTGTCCCCTCTGGGAAAGTGGGCCTCAGTTTCCCCATACAGAATAAAAGGAAGCTAGACTGAGATCTCTTTTTAAACAGAGTAGTAATTTTTTTTTTCTTTGTTTTTGAGACAGAGTCTGGCTCTGTTGCCCTGGCTAGAGTGCCGTGGCGTCAGCCTAGCTCACAGCAACCTCAAACTCCTGGGCTCAAGCGATCCTCCTGCCTCAGCCTCTCGAGTAGCTGGGACTACAGGCATGCGCCACCATGCCCGGCTAATTTTTTCTATATATATATTTTAGTTGTCCAGATAATTTCTTCCTATTTTTAGTAGAGACGGGGTCTCGCTCTTGCTCAGGCTGGTCTCGAACATCCTGACCTTGAGTGATCCGCCTGCCCTCGGCCTCCCAGAGTGCTAGGATTACAGGCGTGAGCCACCGCGCCCGGCCTAAACAGAGTAGTAGTTTTGAGTAGCCTTCTCAAAGCAAGTTTTACAAGTTGTACCACCCTCTAAGACAACGGACACAGTCCCCATAAACTCTAGGCTTCTGGAAAATCAGGGTTTTGATCACCAGGCGTTCCAATAAGCATTTCCAGTGGTGACGGCACAGTGTACCTGGCGGGATGCATCCGGCTGCAAACAAGATGCACCGGATCACGGTGGCAAAAATCGTACTTGCTATTTTACAAGGTGCCCTGGGTTTATTCCGTGGCTCAGGGAAATCCCAACATCCATCCTTTCATCCGGTGTCCTCCCGAACTTGCTACCTCGTGGTCTCAAGGTGGCTGTCTGGACTCTAGATTTCCCCGCCCTCAGGTCACGTCGTTATGATGAGCAGACCGATGTTCCCCCAAAGATGGCCCCGGAATCTGTGAACATGGGACATTATGAAAGCAAAAGTGACGTTGCCGATGTGCAGATGTCAAGCTAGGAAGATGACCCTGCGTTGTCCAGGTGGGCGCAGCCCAGTCAGCCGAGCCCTTCAGAGCAGCCGGAAGCAGAAGGGAGATCCAGTCGTCGGAAGGATTTGGTGCCCTGCTGCCGGCTCTGAGAAGCAAGGGCTCAGGCGCCAGGGCAGGAGAGAGGGCTCAAGAGCTAAGGGCAGCCCTCAGCTGACAGCCAGCGAAGAAACAGGGCCCTCAGCCTCCCAGCCCCAAGGAATTGGACTTTGCCAACAACGCAAATGAGAGCTTGGAAGTGGCTTCTTCCCAAAGCCTCCCGTTACGAGCCCAGCTGGGGACACCTTGGTTTCCCACCTGCGAGGCTCAGAGCAGAGAATCCAGATGAACCAGCTTGGGCTCCTGACCTGCAGAACTGCAAGATGATCCCTTTGTGTTGTTCTAAGCTGCCAAGTCTCTGGTCGTTTGTCATCGCAGCAGTAGGAAACGCTTACAGCTACTTCAATGCGGGAAGCAGGGGACGGCTCCTTGGAACGCTGCCTCCGTGTGTGCAGAAGTGGATTCGTGTTTGGAAACCTCCAGATGTCTGCATGTTTCGCCCCCTCACCTCCTTCAAGTTGTTGCCCAAAGCTCTGTGGGGGCCTCCCCAGACCACCTGATCTCGTACTGCGTCCTGCGTGCCCACCCTGGCACCCTGACCCTGCCGGCCCCAACCCCCTGGTACTCATCACTTTCTAACATCACGCTTCGTTATTTCTCATGCGTCCTGTTCATCGTCTGGCTCCCGCCGCCTCTCCCCCCACTGCATAAAATATACTTTCTATAAGGGCGGAGATCTCTATTTGTTTCATTTGCTGGCATCCCCCAAGCACCTAAAACAGTGCCCGGCACACAGTAGGGCCATATACATCTTTGCTGAGTGAATGGACTGGGCGGGGGGGGGGCAGCCACAAGGAGGCATTCTGGGTCGGGAGGTCAGTCGGGGTCCTGCATGGGAAGACAAGACTTTGAGCCGGCCCCGTGTGGCTGAGACTCTGTAGGTGACGGTGGGGAGTGGGAGGGACTCGGGTTTATTTTCACCTGTTGGAAAGAAATAATAGTGGATGTCGTGCTACAGGGAGAGGCCCAGAAAGTCCCTCTCTCTTGCTGGGGCAGAGAAAGACAAAAGCCGCCCTGGGGGATGGGCCGGTGGGGATTTCTGGAGAGAAAACCCTGCTCCTGCCTGAGTGACAGATTTGGGAAGTTCACTCCAGTGGCAGCTCTGCCCTCTTGGGCAGGGAGGAGGGGCAGGATGGGGAAGGGGCTTGGGGCAGAGGCAGTAGGGAGAGAAGTCCCCCCCCCCCCCCGAGGAGAAGGCTTTGGGGGGGGCGTGCAGAAGATTCGGGTGGGGGACGGAGGCCTCGAGTGCTGGGCTGGGCTGGGTCAGGCGCCCTCAGCACAGGGAACCGTAGAGTGTGGGGGCATGGCGGGGTGACAGGGCCACAGGTTTCATTGATCGACAGGTACACAGGAGGTGGGGCCATCGTAGGACCTTGGGAAGCAGCTCGCATGGAGGTTGAGAGCCAGGCAGACCAGAGTCCCTGGCCTGAGACGCCCTGCGACTTTATCCAGCAAGGAATGGAATTGTGATATCCCTTACTCTGCTCCACGTTGCATTTTTCCATAGCAGGCATCACCATCCGACACCCGCTACAATGTGCCTATTTCTGGTTGTCCCTCTCTCGCTGGGACAGGGTCTTCTCTCTGTCTTGTTCCCTGCTCTGTCCCCAGCGCCTAGGACAGGCACAGTAGGTGCTTGGGAAGCACGTGTTGAATGACTCTAGGTCAGTGCAGGCTACTACACCAGAATACCGCAGACTGGGTGGTTTAGAAACAACAGAAATTTGTTGCGCACTGTTCTGGAGACGGGAGGTCTGAGATCGGAGTGCCGGCATCGCTGGGTCCTGGCGAGGGGCCTCTTTTGGGTTGCAGACCACCATCCTCTCGCTGTATCCCCCCATGGTGGAAAGACAGCGAGAGAGCTCTCTGGGGTCCCTTTTATAAGGGCACCAATCCCATTGGGAGGAACCTAATTACCTCCCAAAGTCACCACCTTCTAAAACCGTCACATTGGGGGTTGGGGTTGCAACCTCTGAGTTGGTGGGGGGCACAAACATTCAGTCCACAACAATGACCGAGTGAGACCGTTGTTTATCCCAGTCCCCAAAAGAGGACACTGAAGCACGTGGGGGCAACATAGCTTTCCTAACAGACCACAGCCAGGGGGTGAGGAACTGGGACGCCAGCCCAGGTGGTGGGACGGCCACACGCTTGTAACCACAGGGGCAAAGCATCGTCATCTCCATTTGAGAGCTGAGCAAAGTGAACGCTAGAGAGAGGAGTCCACCTGCCTGAGGCCGCACAGTTAGCAAGTGGGGGAGTCAGGATTCGAACTCGTGCAGTCTGGCTCCAGACCCAGCTGGCTCGGCCTCATGCTTTACTGGGGCAGATGCTTGGTGGCTATCTGTAGCAGGAATGAGACCCAAAGCAGGGACAGCAAGGTGAGGCAGCTGGGCGAGTCAAGATCTCTTTCCTGCAATGCCAAGCTGCCCCTCATGCCCTAAGCGATAGTTCCAGAGTCATCAAAGCTCACCTTGAACCACCCCTCCTCTCTCACTCCCTCTCTATTCTGAGCCACCGAACTTCCTTCTGTGCCTCAAACTCAGCAACTCTTCACATGCTGCTCCCCCTGGATCCCCTCCACATCCTCCAGGTCTCAGATACAATGTCCCCTCCTCCAGGAAGCCCTCCTTGATCATTGGGCTAGATGATCGGGCCACATGCCCCTTCTGCATTATCCCAGCCCAGCCCTGCCCACTCTGGGTTGTCACTGTCTGGGGACAAGGTCTGTGTTCCCTACTGGACTGTGATCCTCTGTGAGGACAGGGTCAGGGCTGCCTTAGTCACTGCTATGTCCCCAATACCACCAGGAACAGCAGTCAGCACAGGGGAGATTTCAGGGAGTATTCGTTAAGTGAACAAATGAGCGAGTGAATGAATACATGGATTAATGGTCATTCCCTCACCCAGTCTTGGGCTATGTGCTCCCAAAGACCTACAGCTTGTCTTGCTCATAGAGAATTTAAAAAAAAGTAACTATCATATATTGAACCTTTACTGTGTCCTCTAAGTCTTAGCTTAGGTGTCCCCTCCTCCAGGAAGCCCTCCCTCCCTCCCCAACCCCTCAAGGCTGTGTCAGGCTCCCCGGGGCTCTCCCAACCCAGTGCAGTCTGCGCTGCCGCCTGTCTGACTCCAGAGCCTTAGTTTATGGCCAGGAACCACATCACAGGCGTGATCTCGGCGCACTTAATATTTATAGATTGCTCGAGGTGAGCTCGGCATGGGCCTGGCGTTCCTAAGTCCTTGATAACTGGGAGCCGGCCACTATTGTTTTTATTGCATTGCTGTTGACCGTCCTAATCTCAGTTCCTGTTCCCCAGGATTCCTGCTCCCCGTGCTGGGCACAGAAGGAAAGTGAGCCCTGGGAGTGGTGGGCAGAGGTGGGGCCAAAGTGACTTCCCTGCCACCACCCCTGTCTGTCCTGGGAGCCACTGTCACTGCAGTGTGAGTTTGCAGCGGGGCAGGAGGGGAGAGGAGGGAGGTGCAGGGGGCGCAGCCGCAGTGACTGTGTCTGCGTGTGCCAGCCAGGACCCATGGAGCCCGATGACTTATGGGGACACTGGACAGGAATCCTGCTCTCAGGTGAGTGCCCTTCCTTAAGACAGGGGTGGGATGGGGGTTGGGGGGTCGTGTGTCTGTTTGCCAGTGATGTGTGCGTGCGCGTGCGGAAAGAAAGACAGAAGCAGAGAGAGAAATAGAGGCAGAAATAATGACAGATACAAAAGAGACTGACAGAAGGAGACATAAATAGAGACCAGAGACAAAGAGAAAAAGAGACAAAGACAGGTAGGTAAGAGCTGGAGCATTGCAGAGACAGACAGACAGACCCACAGGAGTGAGACAGGCAGAGGGAGGATGTGCCAGCCCCGAGGGGCAGGTCCACATGTCAGGATGGGGGACAGATGTGAAATTTATGCCTAAAAGGCCTCTGAGACCAGAGGGAGAATCTAGAATATTTTCATAAAAAAGCATTTTATTACATTCTGATAGAAAATTTAGGGAAAAAAAATTTTTTTTTTTTTTTTTTTTTTTTGAGACAAAGTCTCACTCTGTTGCCTGGGCTAGAGTGCCGTGGCATCAGCCTAGCTCACAGCAACCTCAAACTCCTGGGCTCAAGCGATCCTCCTGCCTCAGCCTCCCAAGTACCTGGGACTACAGGCATGCGCCACCATGCTCGGCTAATTTTTTTCTATATATTTTTAGTTGTCCAATTAATTTCTTTCTAATTTTAGTAGAGACGGGGTCTCGCTCTTGCTCAGGCTGGTTTCGAACTCCTGAGCTCAAACAATCCGCCCACCTTGGCCTCCCAGAGAGCTAGGATTACAGGCCTGAGCCACCGCGCCCGGCCGGGAAAAAAAATTTTTAAGTGCATTTCAGAGGTGAAAAAATGATTTTGCAAAGGGTCACATGCAGAGGTGAGGGCTCAGCCCAGCTTTGCTGTGCAACCCTGAGACCAGCGCCTCCCTCTCTGGGCTGGAGCTTCCTGGCTGCCCCTGGAAGGCTGCGGGACTCTGAGGTCCTCCTGGGAGAGTTTTTAGCTGTGCTCTCAGGTTTCTCTACAAGGTTTGCCTCTTCCTGGTGGGACAGAGGCAGGACCTTCAGGCAGGAAGCGGGAGGGAAAGGGCCGGGGAAGCCTTCCCATCTCGGGCAGGTGTGACACGGCCGCCTGTCAAAGCTTTCACTCACGTTATTTCATTTATCCTTATGACAGTTATGTGAGGCTGGAACTATCGTCACCCCCAAACTGAGACTCAAAGAACATCACTTGCCCAAATAAATGGCAGAGATGGGCTTCCAACCTAGGCAGGCAGGCACTGAGCTACCACCAGTATCATCACCATCATCGTCATCACCATCATCATCATGGTGACAGAGCACTTACTATGTTTTAAGCATGTCACATCCGATATGTCATTCAGCCCTCACAACAACCAGACGAGCTAAGTTCTGCCCCATTCTGCAGTCAGAGAAACTGAGGCTCACCCAGAGAAAGCCCCTTGCCCACGACAATAGGGCCAGTGAGTGTCAGAGCCCACGTTTGTTCCTAAGAACCTGTGCCCTGAACCACTGACCGGGCAGGGAATGGGGCGGGGCTTGGGCCAGATTGGGGTCTTTTGAGGGGTGCAGAGGGGCATGGTGGCCAGCCTCTGTTCATCGGGCTCACGGGAGAGATGAGGGGGGATCGGGGTCAGCTGCGAATGAGTGTGGCTGCCGGGGTTGGGCCCCTGACCCCCTGGGCCCTCGGTCTCTCTCGTGGCCTCCATAACTGCGTGCAGAACGACCGGATGGAAAACTGGAAACCCCTGCTACCTTGTTCCCCTCTCCCGTGCCAGGGAAATCGTGCCCAAGGGCAATTCTGAGGAAGTACCAAAGGTTAATTTCTTCCACCAGCAATAACAGTAGAAGTTCCCTTTCATCAGGGGTTGGGTCTGGGCCGTCCCTGTGCTCACAGGAGAAATTACACAGGAATTACACAGCATTGAGAGCACAGTCTGTAGGGCCAGGTTCAAGTTTGCTGCTGACCACATGGTCTTGGCAATCGACTTCCGTTCTCTGCGCATCTGTCTCCCTCTATGTGGAACGGGGAGGACCATCACACGTCCCCAGTAGAGCACACATCGTTGGAGAGAGCACAGTGACTGTCAGGGGCCCAGTTCAAGTTTGCCAATATTCGTGACCACCCCCACGACCACCCAAGGATGCAGGTGATATAATGCCCATTTTATAGCTGAGAAATCAAGGCTCAGAAAGGAGAAAAAAACATGTGACAAGTCACATGGCCCATAAGTAGTGGGTAGGACTCAAGCCTCCATGGGTAGAATGTCACATCTGTGACCTCAGACCTCCCTCCGCTCTAAAGACCATAGCTGGGCGCCCCCAACACACCTCTCCCTCCCTGAATGCCTCCCCTCTCCCCTTCTAGCCTCTCTTTTGACTGCATGGATTCCTCCAGCTGCGGCCCAGCCCACGCTGGCCGCCAGCCCACTCAACACCAGCCACGGTGACAAGGGTGAGAAGGTTGTCGTTCTGTCTACGTTTGGGACACCCTGGACACCCCAGAGTCATGGCAGATTCAGTGGTGAGAGCACAGAAAATGAGACTGTCCTTCTGATCTCTGCCTCCACAGAGATCAGCCGTCAGGGTTCCACGCCCAGAGTCCCAAGAGGACAGGAAGTGATGGCTCGGCCAGGGGCTGACCTCAACTGGTGCAGTCAGTTGTGTCGGGGGCGGGGGTGAAGGTGGGGAGGGCTGGCCGAGAAGTGGGTGGGGCCCGTTGCTGGCATCGTGATTGCGGCCCATGTTGACTGGCCCCGCGCCAGGCCCAGGCTCTGTTTTCCTTGCACAACCTCATCCAGCGGTGCTTGCAGAGCGGGAGTTAGTTGCCCAAGATCACACCTAGAACGAGCAGTAGATCCAGCATCTGAGCCCCGCATCCAGCTCCAGCGTGTCTTTTGGCAATTCCGATCCGCTCCTGCTGCTCCGGGCCCCCTCTGTGACTGTGTCTGGCTTTTTCTTCCTCTGTCTGTGTCCCCACCTCTGTCTCCCCCGCTTGCTTCTTCCTCTGCAGAACCACTGGCCACGCCCACCGTTTCAGTCAGCCCAGCCACCGCCATAGAGCAGAGGGCCATGGTGACCTTCCACTGTGACACCGGGGACACCGACGTTACCATCCAGTGGGTCTTCAACGGCCTCCCCCTCACGTTCCATGAGCGCATGCAGCTATCCACGGACGGCAGGACCCTCACCATCCTCACTGTCCAGCGAGAGGACTCTGGGGCTTACCAGTGTCAAGTTCACGGTGTCCTTCAGGTGCAGAGCAGCCGTCCTGCCCTCTTGGACGTGAACTGTGAGTCCCTTTCCGTCCTCCCCAGCCCCTCACCGACACCCACTTCCCTAGCGACTCATTCAAGCCTCACAGCTTTAGATACCTTCAAGTGCAGCCTTGTCTGCCCTTGAACTGCATATGTGTAACTGCTTGACATCTCTACTCAGATTCTACTGGAAACATCCAACTTAATGTGTCTATTTTTTTTCTTTTTCTTTTTTTTTTTTTTCTGAGACAGAGTCTCACTATGTTGCCCGGGCTAGAGTGCCGTGGCGTCAGCCTAGCTCACAGCAACCTCAAACTCCTGGGCTCAAGC